CTATTTCTATTCTACTCTATTTCTATTCTACTCTATTTCTATTCTACTCTATTTCTATTCTACTCTATTTTTATTCTACTCTATTTTATTCTATTCTATTTTCTATTTTCTTTGAATCTTTAGTAAAGCAATGAAATTTACGTGTGCTAAAATGTTGATGGAATTTTCACACATTGAAGAAATAAAATGATGAAATGAAACTAATTATACTTATGATTATTTGGGTCGTAATTACATTGATTATTATTTACTACTTGTAGGCAAAATAAAGTTAGTTTATTAATTATTGTTCAAAGATAAAATGAAATCAGTCATTTACATTTGAAGTAAAAGATGAAAAAGTAAATGGAGGAAAAGGGACGATCAACCGTGAATAAATATAAAGGTAAAAACATCCATTATATGTTTATACAAAAAATGATCAGTTTTCCAATTCAAATATTATTGAAAAACTAAAATTTTATTGGTATCAGTGTTTCCAACTATTCTACTAAATTAATTCAAGAGTATATGAGATGATTAATCAAGATTTCATAAGAGGAAATGGTATCCGGAAATTTTTGAAATATCATTTCATAAGAAGTAATGGACAATCTAGCCTACTTACATGATAGTAATCACTAAATTGGATGGACATAATTTCTTGAACTTCTTCCGAGAGGTCGAGTATTCATCAGGAAATCACAATGGAGCACTAATCAAATATTAAGCTTGGTGCTTCTAAATATCTAAATTCATGACATCTCGAGCATTTATTCGCTGGTGTTTTGGAGAACTTCGAAAAAATATCGGAAAAAGTCGTATTCTAATCTTTTAAATACATTATTAATGATTTCAGCTGTTTGTGGATAGAATGTTATTCTCGCTAAACTGAAATAATTTGTTAAAATAGTCTTTCAAAATCTCGAGCTAATCTTTTGTTTATTTAGCTCGCCTCATTAAAATAACACATTTCATTTGTGGCGCAATTGTAAAATGTTAAACTGGACATTTGAACATTTAGATCAATATGTTTTCAAATGATTATAATAATGTATTTCGTTTGTTAAGCGATTGCAGATATTAAGCTGACCCTTTTGTTCATTGATCTCTCTTTAATTTCAATACGACTTTGAAATCATGCATCTCAATTTGATTTAAGAATTATCGATAGCAATGTTAGCATCCTTTATACCAGTACTACGAGCATGCAAAAATGCTGCAAAAATACTACGAGCATACACAAATAAATCCTCCATCAACCAATAAAACTTTTTATTCTAATCATATTCATCTGTACCAAATCATCTCTAATACCAATAAAATTATTTTCATAACAATCATTATCATCCTCAATGATGACATGATAATAACCCTATTTTTTCAAAATTTAGAAGCATGTAATTAAAATTTGATTGCTTCCTTAAAGCAGTTAACTTCTTCCCTATGATCGGCAAAAATAAATTTTGAATTCTGATATCACATCATAATCTTCAAGTTTTGACAAATACACAGTCATACGAATGGCTAACAGTTCTGACTCCTATTATACACTTTTTTTTTTAAGTTTTAATAGATATATAGCTAGCAGTTCTAAATTTTAATAAATGCATGAGTATAAATTTTGAGTCCTAGCATATGCAACACTCTATGTGGCGATTTTGACTTTGAATCATTACTTTAGTACTTTGTATTCAGAAACTTTAACTGACTGCAATCTTATCACTGCACTTCTCATATTATGAGAAACGAATCATAATTCGTTCCTTACCATCAATGTATCAAAAAAAATTCCATCGATTATTAATTAACGTGCAAATAGATTTATTTCTCAAGAAATCCAAAGAGTCTTCATTATGTATTTTAATTTCTCGATGATAAAAATGATACAATCATATCATAGCATACTTACACGTCAAGCATTTCAACTTATAATAAAAAATGAAAGAAAAAGAAAGGGAAGAATCTAATGATAAGTATATATTAAAAAAACATTCTTTATCGGTAGCACAAAAGTACGTTTAATTGAATGTTTAAATGAAATTCTTTACTGACAGTACAAAAATACATTTAATAAGGTGAAATTCACTTAATGCCACATCTTCCTATCATAGTTTTTTTTTTTCAAATTCTCTTAAAATTAATGATGCGCTGCATAATATATAATATTTTCTTTGTATTTATCATTAAAAATGATTTTATGAATTAAAATTCATTTTCCTCTAAAAATAAATACATACAATTCAATTGCTTTAAATGAAGAATGGCGCAGAAAAAAAACCGAAGCCTTTTCCTTACTAAATATTTGTTTAGAATTTTGCTAAACGATTTTTATTACTTTTTAAGCGTTCTTCACTTTCTAGGCAAATAAAATTAATCAGTGCCTGTAAAATTTACAACAGCAATTGCGAGAGATCAAATTCCCAGTTGTTTTATTTTTATTTTTTTTTGTTCTCAGACTTTAACATTTCAAGGCACAAAAAGAATAACAAATAAGTAAATTGCAAAAGGATGTTTATCGAATAAACGAAATTTTAGCATTTAACAATACTGTAAATTTCTACCCTTTTTCTCCCCCCAAAAACTCACTTATGTTTTTGGCTTTTCAATACTCCTTAATGTTTTGCTAAGATCACAAATGAGTCCCCAAATAGGTTGTGTATCTTTTAGACGACAAGCCATCTTTGAAATATTTTCGTTATCCTCAGAATTCACCAATAATTCACCAGAAGAAAGAGTGACTGGAATTTTAGTTGCAGGTTGAATATTCCACATTTCCGTATTATTTTGTCCTGAGAATTCTGTAACTTGTAGATTTGGAGATATTATATTGTAGTATGTGCTTTTGTGGAACGATGTCACCTGCGATTGATAGTTCACTGAATCATTATTCCGTATTGTTGTATTACCTGTAATGATTGATTCTCTATTAGTTTCTGAAGATGGCAATATTGCTTCTACATGACTATTGGGTGAATTAAAATAGGTAGTGTTTGTAGCGCTAATATTGCAGATTGATTCCGTACGCCGGACAGTTTGATGATTAGGTGCTACTGTCGTATGCAACAATACAGTAGCCGAAAACAGATTTTTTTTAATTGGTGCTTTGGTTGGAAATAAAGAATAAAATTCTGGAACTTCTGTTGAACTTTCATTTGATGCATTATTTTCTGTAGTCAAGTTCTTATTGGAATATTTGATAATTTTGGAACTATCATTTGTAGCTGCTACATTAATAAGTGTAAAAGAAACAGTGCTAATTCTTGATTCAGATGAAAGATCAGATTGACCCATTGTATTGAATATTCTATAAGGGTCAGTTATGGTCACAGTGGGAATGTCATTTCGCTGATCGGTATTATACCATTGTTCATCAGAACTTCTCCCATTTTCAATTCGAGAACTGAAGCTATCACTCGATGTAATTCTTCCCTCACTGGTTCTATCGAATATACCTTGAACTTTTTGATGGGATGCCAACATATCTTCTTTCGTACTTCTAATTGTATGCTCCTTATATGATTTACCTGTGAAGAAGTTAACACTCTCGGTACTACTGCTACCAAATTCATTAGGAAAAAAAGGACCATTTAGATCATTTTCTGTAGCATCAGCAGCAGCATCAGAACTTGTACCAAAAACAACACTTAGGCCTGATTCAGAATCTGCTCTGGAATCTAAAGCAACAGTCGAAGATAATTGAAAAGTATTGCTCGAATCTGAAGTTAAATTAAATATGCCGTTGGAATCAAAAATTGATTGTGTAGCAATCAATTTCGTATATTCATGTTTCCTTGTTACTAAAGGCGTTATTCGATATCCATCAATTTCGGAAGTTTCTGCTTCAGCGGTTTTTGCTCTTGTTGTAAGTAAAGTTGATGACAGTAAGGAAGTTGTAATATACGATAAGCGATACAGTTTCGGTAATTCTGAAGTATGCTTAGCATTACCATTAATTACATTCATTTCAGTGGTAGATTTTACGAAATGAAATTGAGAAGGAATATAAATAAGAGGTTGAAGGCCATTAAAATTGATGATTTTATGACATTCTCTGATAAAACCATCAAATCCAATGGTCACTACAGCTGTCTCAGAGCGTCCATATTCATCAACTGCTTGAACTGTAGCACAGTAACTATTTTCTATTTCTGCAGGCTTTATTTCTTTCTTTAAGCTTATCACACCTGAAATATTATAAAATTCTGATATTTGTTATGGAAACTTTCTTACATTTACATTTCTGTTTACTCCACCATTTCAAACTTTCTTTTGATTTCATTTGAAAATTTAACCGATTTGGTTTATTAACATTTATCAAAAACCAAATTTTATTCCAATATTTAATTGATGTGATGTAAAAATGAAACTATTCCAGAATTAGGTTTTAAATCAATATAAAGATGAATAAAAATAATTTTTTTCTACTATTTATTCAAATGGTAACGTCTTTAACTATATGCATAATTAATTGTTTTAATTAATACATCAAAGATAAATCATACCAGTTTCAGGATTTATACCAAAATAATCATTCATTTCACTGGAATTTGAATAAAGTTCATAACGAATAGTTGATTGACTTGCTGAAATAGCCATAATACGAGCAATTTCATCGCCAACATGTGGCCAATTTTCAGTTACAAGTGGAACATTGTAAACAGGAAATTCGAAACGTGGACGAAGAAAGAGCTCCGTATTACCATAAATGATTTCATATTCGATGAATTCAGGCGCTTCTGATAGATTGTCATCGATAAAATGAACAAATTTCTAAAATATTAGTTAATCTTATCATATACTATCTATTATTTTGAATGATTTTCATGATAGCTGTCAGTTACAAGTTTGCTATTTTTTATCTAATTCATAAAACTTCATGCATTCTTTTTTTTTTGCTTTTTGTTGGTTTACGTTAATCAGTTACTTCTTTTACATTGAATCGAGAAGGGATTCAATGTAAAAGAAGTAACTGATTAACGCTTTTTTCGTACAGATTAATTTCAGTAACAATACATTTACATATAATATATATATATATATATATATATACTCAAAGGTCGGATCATTTTTGTTTTTCACTCACTCACTTGATCATGATTTGAGCTCCAAATATTTCGTGGATCAACAAGCTTTAGAGCATTATTTTTGCTAATCTGATTCACTCGAAGTACTTCGAAATCATTTTCCAAATCAATTGGGAATGGAATTCGTCCATAAAATGATGTTGGCTGTCGTTGTGATTCATTGAGTCGAAATGTTATAATTTGTTGGCGAAAAGATTTCCCATCACTGGCACCATTTTTTTCGTTTACCTGAAAAAAATTTTTTTTTTTGATATGAAATTCTAATTTGAATATTTGATTTGATAAGGAAGGAAGCGTTGGGAAGAAATACCAATTTTAAAAAATTTTAATTTGTTTAGCTTTTGTAGCTTTTCAAAATAATTTAAAGCCAAAATATTTGATGAAGGAATGGGAAAATATCACTTCAAAATAAATGAAAGAAAGAAATTACATTAACAAAAATTAATGGCGCAATGGTACGCATTGCAGCCTTTTGCATATCGTAGTAAAACAATGAAGCTGAATTAGTTTGAAGTGAAACCAGAAATTTGGTTGGTGAAATGAATTGTTGGATAGTAAAAGTTTGTGTGTCTTCAAGTTTGATCAATTCGCCATTTATCGAAGTTGTCATTTTGAAATCACGAATTATTCCTTTCTACAAACAACTCCAATATAATAAAACTTTTTTTTCTCTTATAATAAAAAAAAATAAAAAAAATAAAAGCTCTCATTACGGTATTTATTTGAAATATGAAATATAAGATACAATGTAACATACACATATATAAAATTATCGATCGAATATCTAAATCAGAATGGAGTATTCTTCAAAATTTCATAAATCACAAATAAATCACAAATTTCTATCATTCAAGTTATTGCTAACGACTAACGAATTAAAAGTAAATTTTGCCTGTCCAAAATCAGTTGTAATATTGTACATAGCATTAACAGTTTTTCCGGATTCGATATTTGCAATTGTGAAATGCAAATCGGAAAGATTTCTTTGTTCAACACCACTACCACTATCACTGATAATGCCATTGATTTGATAAGGTATAAAATTTTTCGCGATATCTTTCGATAAGACAGATATTCTAACTTCCTCAACTTTAACATTCGTGAGATTTGAATAACTAAAAGTACGATAAGTTATAGATTCTTGATAGTTCAAAGATTTCATCACTAAATTGTAACTTCCAGGATCTTAAATATTTGTTAAATTAAATTAGTAATGTATGCACAATTGTTCAAAATTCTTTGTATTATTCACCTGGCTTAAACTTGATCTTGGAAAAAGATGCCTAGTTAAGCACCCAGACTATCCTTTGTGATATGATATATTAAGTTAGTAGTGACTTAGATACTACAACAAAGTGTGGTATAAGAGAAGAAATAAAGAAATGAATAATTAATTTATTAATTCCAAAATATGCAAAACAATTTCTACGCAAAGCTGTGTAAAATATCACGTACCCCGTGTTTATAAAAGCGATCATCACGTTAAACGCAGATTGAGATGCATTTGTGTTTTGTATAATTTTTGAATGCGTTACGTTTGAAATGAAGTAATAAATTTTCAATGATGGTCGAGGTTGAAATATCACTGTTTGTGTTGTTATTCGCTGTACGCTTCTGTGACCATTTTGTGTAAATTTCAAAATTACAATGGGCTGAAATTCAATTAGTTAAAGAAGCTGTTATTAAATATGACATAATTTTTTATAAAAATGTTAGTGGCAAGCACAAAAAAATTGTGATGATTTGATGAATAGAAAAAAAAATTCAAAAACAACTCTATAAATTAACCTCAGCAATTTTTAAAAATTTATTCACAAATATTTTAGCAATTAAAACTTTTAAGCATTTAAATTTATAGAATTTGTTTATAGGTAATTTCAAAAGATTATATATTTTAAACATCTAAAATATATTGGTAAGCTTATCTTGAAGTGCTTATGCAAATGTGAAAGTTCCCTCGTGCTGCTTTCTGTGCTAATGCTACATTCCTACCATTTAATTTGATAGCATACCTGATATTCAGTTTCATGAATTAATCGCGTATTTTTGACTGGCTTCAGATTCCAACTTGCAACAAATGATGCATTTGGTGGCAGATTCGAAGTACGATCAATGCTGCTAATTCCATTGAGCATAACCGTTCCAATTCGAAATTGCATGGGTACTGCATCACTATCTGATGCATGACTTTGAATCATTTCTAATGTTACTTTTACAGATTCCAATGATTTCTCCTAAAATGAAAATTCAAAATTTCGGTTATGTAAATTTCCAAAAAATATTTACTCTATAAAATGTGTGTTGATCTTAGAAGGAAACTTCTAAGTAATTTTGTAATGACATAATAATTAATTATCAAGAATTTTTAAATAAAGTCTATAGTTAAATATAATACACAATTCTAGCTAACAGTTACTTTGATGTAAATCAGATTGCATATTCTCATTAAAAGATTTCAATTTTAAACCTTCTTGTTGATCACTTTTAATCGAATATGAAATTCACTATTTTCATATGGTTTTTCGGGTGTTATCAGAGTGTAAGCATAAGCGCAAATATCTTCATAATCATTTTCAAATTTCAAAATTTGCTGTGAATTGGACATGTTTTCTGATCTCCATGACAACAATTTTCCCATGTAATCGTGAAGCAATGCGAATGGATTATCAGCACCGTACTAAAATTCATTTCAATCTCATTTGAATCATTTGTTATTTTTGTTATTGATATCCGAGAATTGTTTATTTCTATTTATTAGTGATCTTTTGAATCTGTGCAAATAGCATATTAACGAATCACCCGCAATGAGAATACCTGTTTTGTAAGTGTTTTCAATCGATCCGAACTAATAATCAGTTCTCGAGCATCTGTGAATTTCATGCCCGAAATGTTTGCTTTAGAGGGGAGACTCGATATTTTAGACCATTCGATAACTGTAGCATTCCAACGATGTGCCAAAATTGCGCCTCCTTTCTCACCTAAAATGCAAATAATCGATATGGTAAAGTTAGTAAAAAAATGAAATACTTGAAATAATTATTGTAGCTTAAAATGCTTTAAAACTACAAGTTAAATAATCAGAAATAAAAATCACCTTTTAATTTTTCGAATTCCGTCTCAGTAATTGCAAGCCCATTGTCCGATGACTCAGATATACTTTCAAAAAATTTATTGAACCACTGCTTGTTTTTGATTTCTTCGAAATGCTTGAATGGCAATAAGTTCTGTAAAAGGCTTTAAAATTTTAAAAAAAATTGCAAAAATATAAATTCTTTTTCTTTTGCTAATTCTTTAAATTAAGTTTTATAGATGGTACAGACGTTAGCAAACATAGTATTGCTAATCGTTTTTCATGACAGATAATAATTTATTTGACTATATGAAAAAACAAAAAAGAAAAAGCATAAATATTAAGTAAACTAACGTTAAGTCGTTCAAAAAACGCCTCATATAGAGCGACTATATCTACCGTTTGTGATTTTAATATTTTCATGATCGGGAAATATTTCTGCAATATGTCACCTGCATGTTCGTTTACCATAGCAAGCTAGAATTTTAAAATCTTTGAAAATCAAAAGCTAAAACTTACTGTTCTCTCTTCCTTTTCCAATCTCTTATAATCACATATATTTAAGATGTTTTCAAGAATGATTAGAAACATGGAACTAATAAGAACGAAAAGAATATGTTTCAATTAATCTGTTAATTTATAATCATTTAATTTAATATAGCATCCAATTTTTCGCATACTTAAGTCTTATATTTAATTATTCTTAAATAAAAACTGAAAAACACAGCAAGCAAGTTCGTAACAAAAAAATTCCACCTCAATAATTAATATTTGAACAGAGAATTTGTCGAATTGAAATTTAATAACCTGATCAAAAAATTGTGTCCGTTGTTGACTTTCCCATGAGGATTTGTTTTTACTGAACGATCGCTGTTGCTGTGATATCGGACAATAATTATTCAATAAAGAAGCACATCTGTAAAAATTTCAAAAACTAAAAATATCGAGATTTAATTTTCAAATAGTTGTACTTGTTAAAAATTTAGCCAATCGAGATTACTTCCTGGCATTTTGATTTTTGAAAATTCGAATTTTTTTTTTTATTCCAAAATTATTGTAAAATTTACGCAAGAAATTGTTTGATTTTATCAAAGTTAACACCAGCTGCACGACATTCTGCAATCATTACAATAAATAATGCAGTGGTTTGCAGTGATACTGTATCATCCGGAATGTATTTCCAAGTAGTGCCACACGGTGTTGCCGATACATACTGTACACGACAACGCTCCTTCCCTCTCATTGCGCAATTACAGTAAATTGTTGTTTTGGTCCAAATTGATGCGTGTTTTGGCGCAGTTTGTAAACCAACTGAAATGATCAAAAAGCAAGAAAAAAATTTGGTCTATCAAATCGGTGATCTTTTAATGTTAATTCTGATAGGTAGACCTATTACATTTATATTGCACTGTCAAGAATAATTAATCGTGCAAATCTAATATAGGAATTAAACTCATTTTTTCAGATATTAAAATAACAAATGATAAAATTTTAGAAAGATAAGAAGTAGGAGCATAAGAAGCAAAAAAATCCTTGTAAAACAGTTTTGCTTTTAAATAAATAATTGGAAACTGTTAAAATTCAAATTACCTTCACAGAGTTGGACATTATCATTCGGTTTATTTCTATTATCAGCCAATATCACAACATTTCGTATATAATTTGATATCGAGTTTGGTACCATATAGATGTATGGAATTTGTAAGGCAAAAACGGTGCATGCAATTGCATTTCCTGTATGATTTGATACACGCGATAATTTATACTTCATATGATAACCATCACCCAAACCCAATCCATTTCTAAGATCAGCCTGTAAAATTTTTTCCAATTTTAGCAAACACTGCTTGAAATATATTTCCTTTTTTTTAAATTCAAAAATTCGATTTACATAAATTGTACTCATAAGTTTGCTTGAATTTTGCTTCGTATTTGCAATAAATCATAAAATTCTAACAAACCGTTGCAAAGATAAATGGAAGAGGTTGTTGATGAATTTCAACAGAAGGTAAAATAGCAACATTATCAGTTGGACCATCCAAATCACTGCTTATCAATAAATTCATTTCCTTTGTGCCATTTACAGGTATCATTATTATGGATGGTGTAAAATGAAGCTTTGGAAATGATATCTGTAAGCACTCATAAGAATTAAAAGCAAACTTTCGTTGCTCAAAAAATTTCAACAAACATGACCATAAAATTTAATGAATGGTATGAAAATTCAAATTTAAATTTAAATTTAACGTAAAAAATAATTGTTGAAGGAAATAATATGTTGAAATGAGAATAATCTTTCTGGATATACTTTTTGACTTTCAAACATGAGAGCATTCAGGAATTTAATGCATCATTCGAAAATTTTAAAACAGCTAAGGCTTATGGATTTACTTCCCGTTGCTTATTAATTTTTCGACAATTAAAGCTTACGAATTTACCTTTCGCTGCTTATCAATTTCCTCCAGCAATAATTTTCCATCTTCAACAATTGGAGAATAAGGTGAATTAATTGGAGCAAATATAGCTAATGAGGAATTAATAAATGATGGCTGAAATTTCTAAGCATTATCAATCAAGATTGTTATTAAAAGCTTAAAAAGTTTTAATTGAATACAAAAAATATTTTTACATAAAATTTCAGGCTTAAATAAGGCATACCTGAATAATTGTAATGACTGTTACATGAGTGGGAGATTTAACAGTAAGTTGATAAGTTCCTTCAATAATCGAAAAAAATACAACAGGTGCTGTAAGAAGATTTGCACAGGTAAAAGTGAATGCAATCATATAATTTTACCAAAAAAAAAAAACAAAAGCAAAAGATTAATAATGCAAATAACAAGAAATATTATCAATGCAAAACAAAAATTTTGGGATCATCAGAAAAAGACGGAAAAGGATTTCTAGAATATTTCATTCTTCAACGTTGCTGTCTTATCACGAAAAGTAATACTTACCTTTGTTGTCACCAAAAAATCTTAACTATTTCTTCTTCTTCTGATCATACATTTGTAAGAAATTTAATAATTTTCAATTACCATCAGGCTTTGTATGTCTCTTATAATCGTAGCCAAGTGCTTCATTCCGGAGAATTATTTCCGCATCATCGACAATATGAGTTGGATCCAATGCACTCAATTCATCCATTACTGTTATTTGAAAATCAAATAAATTCGAAGTTGCATAGCTACGATATTCTACCGTAAATAATTCCTGTAAAAGATGTTTGATGAAATAATATAAACACATATTTGAAGATGATAATTTGAATTTAATAGCATAAAAGAATTTGCTTAGTTTGAGGTGTGAAATTTCTTTGAGATTTAATAATTTTGTATCGGTAATTTACGAAATTCACAGAATATATTTTAATGATATCATTGTTTTCGATAAAAAAAATGTGAAATTTTGCTGATCTATGATTGATTGATAATACGCATAATTATTTTACACTTCTATTCAAGCATTTAAAGACTTTAAAATTTTGGTAATTTTCGATTGAAATTTAATGGTACCTTATTTCCATCGAATAAAATCAAGTCACCAGTAGTTGTCCAATTCATAGTTTCAGCTGACAGCATCGATCGATAGCTGAGAAAAAGTGTAAGTGTGGATTCTGGATTGTTAAATTCCGTGATATTTTGCAATGATGGCTTGGTAGATATCAGAAATAGAGAACCATAATCAGGTCGAATAAAAATTCGTGGTTCACTGACAAATTGATAACCTTCTTTATTTACAATATCAACCTGAAAACTTTTTCAGCTAGCAGTAAAAATGACATTCATAAAAGTAACTGAAATGATCATAATTAAGTAAAAATCAATAAATTTAAGAATTGAAGTACGAGAGAAGAAATTTCATCCTCTATTCAATTTTTATTTTTTTTCAATAAATTTATTGAACAAATAAAGAATAAACCGTAATAATCTTTGGTGGTATTTGTGATGGAATGGAAACAAGCATCTCTGATGGATATGATACAAACATTGATCTTTCACGTTCCACTTCTATTTGTTGTCTGAATTAGAATATAAATGATTGAAAAAAAATCCCATAGGATAATTTCAAGTTTTAATTTAAGGAAAAAAATCGTCAATTTATAATTAATAATTTTATTAACAAACCTAACTAATTTCTTTGATGTATCAACGCATTTGAATTGTAGAATAAGAGTTGTATTATCGAGAGTGCTACCAGCAGCAAATGTAACTTTCATTGACTTCGATTCACCAACTGCTATACCTTTTATTATCTAAAAATTTGAATGTTTCAGAAAATATTTTAAAAAACTTCAGAAAAGAAAAAGAAATTTTATTAGTCAGCAATTCTTTTTTTAGAGAGAGAATTATCCATAATTAATTTAGTCTGTAGATTTGTTAGGTGCTAATAGTTGATTGAAAAAGTTGAAAAACAAAAAAAAATACCGATGAATTTAAAATTAATTCAAATTAGGCACTTCTAATAATCTTGAAAACTTTAAATTCATAGAGAACATAAAATTTATTCAGAATAATAAATTTGAAAAATAATCGTATTCATCTTTTAATGCTGTTTTTCTATTCTAACAACGAACATAACATATGATCTTTTCATAAGATCGCGATGCACGGAATTTTTTAGACATTTTCATTTTTAAGCATAGTTATTCGGAGATTTAAACCTTTTCATATTTTGTAATTTGTATTTTATCACGTGGTGCAATTAATTCCAATTGACAATTGAGAAGCACTTCTCTGCCTTTATTTGTTAACTGATAATCTTCATCAATTTGTTCATCCGGGTGCATTTTTATTTTAGGAGTATATTCAATATCAAAGGTAGGTGTAGTCCATGTCACATTATTGGATGATGTGACAGCATCAGGCTTTGCTGCTCCGGGATGTACCACAACCTGAAATTGATTATTATGTCCGAAATATGATATCAAAAGCAAATTAATTCATTGATATGAATCCATAAATTCTAAACACATCTTTTTAAAAGCAATCTGTAATTCCAAATAGTATTCTTCTGACAAAAGGAATACTGTTCGGTAATCACTGATTGAACATCAAGTGAAATGCATTACCAAATAAATAAAAACTAAATAATCATGCATGTGCTAAAAAAGTAACGAAGAAGAAATGTTCTCTAAATACATATTCCAAAGAAAAATATTTTCTCGGTTTTAATAAAACTTTGCACCCGAATTAATAAATTTTGATAACCTAAGTACGAACCCAATTCAATAAAATAAATTTTAAACATTCGTTTGTAAAAAAGGCAAAATTAAAATATTTAAAAAAACAAAAAATAAAATCGAAAAAAAGATGTTACAACGATTAAAGCTAAAAATTAAAATTCTGATTTACTTTTTGTTCAATTTATTTCATCCAATTTGTACTTCTTTCTAATTTTCTTTGAACTTCTCTATCAAATTTTGCTTCTAGTGATTCTCTTTCTACAAGACGAATATTACAAAATATTCAGAACAGCAAATTTTAAACGAAATATAAAACAGCAAATGAACTGGAAGAATGATAAAAAGATTGCTCAAATTAAGTGGAAATAGCAACAGACCACAGATGTTGATATTGTTTCATCGAATGGATAATGTATAAATTTGAAATGACCATCAGCCGTACTTATTGCTGTAGCATTCTCTATTAGCTTATCATTTTGATAAACCAACATTCTTATCGGAACTTTACCCATAAGCTATAATAGATTTGTGAAGCACTCCCAAAAATATCACAATAATAAATTTATTTTAAAGCAATTGCATTGTTTAAGTCTTGAGCATCAGTTCATTCACCACTTCAGATAGCTATTTCAGGAAGGTGTTATTCCATTAATTATCTTCATTATGATAATTAGCATTTTAGATGATATAAAAAATGTACTTTTGCATTGTGATTAACAGTTCCCTTAATCACTTTCATATTTGTGTCATCAACATTTTCAACTTTCGTTATCACCGGTGTATATATCGGTTTAACCATTAAATTCCAACTAATCATAGAGCCACCGGTAAGCGAAGTGGCGGTAACATTTACAGTATACGGTTGGATACGTCCAATTGGCTGTGACCAAAATACCATACCATTTGGATAAATTATCATTCCGTTTGCATCTGTTTCAACATTGAATATCGTATTTTCGTGCTAAACAAATGATTGATTTCAATTTATTGCATATTTAATCACTAATGAATAAAATTTGAAATGTTATCGGATATTTCGTGGTATTAAACAAAAAAAAGATTTATTATTTATTCTAAAGCAAATTAATATTTCATGAGAATTTTTGGCCAAACAAAAAAAATAGTTTTCATATATGATTTTTGGAATGTATAATAAATGAATGAATGCAATTTGAAATCAAACAAGTGAACAAAGCTTGGTTTTTAATATTATTTTTTTTAAATTAATCATTTAAATCGGCATAATTTATTAAAAAAAATTTTTTTTCGAATGCGATAAATAAACCTGAATAGGCATTTTGACAGTATATGGTTCACCTTCCACAGCCTGTATCAATTTTTCATTGCTTAAAATTTCACGATTCAATTTTGGTAAAATTTTTGCCTAAAATATAACGTATGACGAAAACTTTTCCTAAATGTCAAATTAAAATTGTAAAATAATCAATTACACACAGAGTAAATCAAAATGGACGAAATTTGTCAATGAAAGAATCTACAAAACTTTTTTTTGAGAAATATTTTTTTTGTTGAATTCTTTGTCATAACTGAAATGACAAAGTTTTCTCTCCTGCAGAGATCTCTTCAGGATATGATACATTAAATTTCAATAATTTCAAATATTTCATAGCAATGTTGTCAATGTGCTACATAATGAAATGACTGGAGAAAACTTTTAAGAATAATTTTTATCAAAATTTGACTTAAAGAATGTAATAAACCCGTAAGTTAAAATAATAAATTGTCATCACCTGCTCACAGAATGCACCATCACGATCTGCCGGACACACACAAACTGCTCCTAAACAATAACCTTTGCACTTTGCTTGATTACATTCATTGTATAAGGTAAAATGAATCTGTAAATAAAAACAATTTGAGACAAATAATTAAATTTGGGCAGAAATAATTGTCTGCAAAAATCTTTTAATTCTTCAAAATAAAACACACCAATTTTCAATAATTTCAAATCATATTTTCATCATAAAATAATAAGCTAAAATTTAATTTCAAATATTTCATATTCCTTTATCATTTAGTTAAATTTAATCAAATGTTACGATGTATTTTGCATGAAATTAAATTATTTACGCGTACCAAACGTTTGTCAAGAAATGGAACAGCTTTATCGGATCCATACGGAATGATATTGAATAAATAACGGCCTGGCAAGGCTGAACTCGGAATGGTACAACGTACTAACGATGACGAAATATAGAAACCATCGGCAGCTGTGCTACCATATAAACACGTGTAACGTTTTGATGATACGCTAAAAATATTATTGACGCGTTTAACCTTATTTTAATTTCTCATTTAAGTAATAATGAAAGTTTTCATACTATAAGTAGCATAAAATAATTAGCTACAATATGAAGATTCAAATTAAATTATTAATATAATAGCTATAGATTTTTCAGATATTTAAAAATATGAAAATTATTTGATAAATTTATAATAAGTAATGTACATTTTTTAAACGTTGAAAATATCAATGCATTTTAAGCAGCTTTTAGCGTCCCTTTCTGCAAATATTTCTAAAATTAATCCATTATTGCGTCTACGATTTTTTCCATTGTTTTATATTATTTTTCAAAAAAAATATTGCAAAAAAAGCTTAAACTTCTACTTACAATGGTAAATCATTGCCGTAAACTAAAATATTCTCGTCTTTCTGATGAATTCCGGCAGCTGTCGGCAAAACATATAGCACTACTGACATTACATCACATTTTTCACTGGCACAAATGTCACAGTTTGGACCGGTCCAACCACCACGACATATGCAAGTTCTAAATAATTGTTAAATTTTTCAAATACTGAAAGAATTAGCAAATAAAACAATACCATTTTTTTCTTATCCATTGGAAATATCGATAGCATGCAAGTAAAACAATAATGGTTATTGTTTTATTTGAATATATTATCGATATTTTGCACGCAAATGTAGTCACGTGTTCATACAACAAACTTAAGGCCCGTTTGGTATGACTTAACAATAAAACAGAGATTATAATTTCTCGAATTTTTTTTTGGTAATTGCTCGCATTAGCAAATATAATATTGCTACTTGATTCTTTATACTTTACTTTCCAATTTTAATGACTCAATTGATTTTTTGTTTTTAAATAAAAAAAGTTTAATCTACAAAATTTTCGATAAATGAATAACTTCTCAGTTCTGCTATCTTACTTAATTCAATTGCATCGTTAAGTATTCATTTTGTCGGTAAAATTGGAAAATTTCTTTTAACAGCAAAAAAAATCGATTGCAAGCGCTGAATGTTATTGAATTGATCTAATTATCATTAATATGACGATAAAATTCTAACTTACGTCAAAGTTCGTACTTCATTGAGATATCAGAAAGACAGATCACAGTAAAATGAGAATAAAACAAAAATGATAGACCTTGTATTCGAGTTGCAACGTCCGTGAATACATTCAGCATTACAAAGGTCACAGGTTGGACCTTCACAAACGGAGCAATCATCTCCAGTAAATCCATGTAAGCATTCACATAATTGAGGTCGAACACAAGTACCGGAACCGGAGCAGTTATTTAGTTGATCACAAAGTGCTTTCGAGCAAAACGATCCTGTCCAACCGGTTTCACAAACGCATTCATTATTAATGCATAAGCCATGATTGTTGCAACTTGTATTTGAACAATTCCTCATTTGTTTACTGCAATCAGCACCTGAAAATCTTTATGCTTCTGATATCTTTATAAAATTTAAAGTATTATTTTGCAGGAATCATATTACTAATATTTTAAATGGATCGAAAATTAATTGGTGATATCATTTTCATTATCATATATTTCTATTCGGTGACGGAATCATTTTTTTTTAATTTTCGCTTTTTTCTCCTTCCATAGATTATTTGAATTATAATTTTAGCGGGTGAGGAATAGTTGTTATTCAAGCCTGAAAAGTTACCAAACCTTCAAACATTGGTTCACAATCACATTCATTAAGCGATACGCAAGTACCATGCCCACTGCAATTATTTACTAAATGACAGGTTGGCTTCGAACAGTCCTGTTGTTGCCAGCCATCGAAGCATTTGCAAATATTTGGTGCTATGCAATAACCATTTTGTGAGCAGTTTTTTAACGCTAAGCATGATATTTGCGAACAATCAGGTCCTACATAGCCCACATTACAATGACAAACATTTAAGCCTGAAATGTAAAAAACTTTTTTCAAAATTGAAAATTGTAAATTAAAGCAGTCTAAAAGTTTTGCTTTAAACTTCGCATTATGCAAAGACTTGTTTGTAGAATTATTAAATTTGTTATCAGCAATGAAATGTGAAAAATCATTACATATTTAAAAAAAAAAAACCAAATGCGCCACTCACCGATACATTGCCCATTGTGAGAACAATTGGAAACAGCCAAACAGTCTTTAGCAGCTCGTTTTCGGTTAATTGAATTAATTCGAGTTAAGCCTACATTGAAAAATTTTTTTATTTTTAGTTTGAAAGAAAAAAAATGCATACGTTTACAAAATTTAATGACAAGTTAATTTTGAAAAAATTTCCAACAACACTCAAAATGATATGGAAAAAATAATTAAAACCAATAAAAGTTTGCAGAAATTTATTTTACCATGAAATGAGTGGAAAAAATTCACCATAAAACACTTTATAATTTAAGATCAATAATTTAATCTATTTAAAACATCATTTTAATTAGGATTACTGATGATATTATTTGAAGAAGAAAAACTCTGACCACTCAATTCAAAAGCATTTTCTTCGGCATTGAGCAGATTATTATCTCTCCAGTTATTCTCCATAGCATTCAGTGCCTCAATGAAAAAAGTGATTACTTCAATAATTTTAACAAAAGGAATTCTATTCATAATTAAACATGAAATAAAATTGTTATAATTGAATGAATTGTTGTAAATAAATGTGATACTATAGTTCTGGTATATATCGGGAAAAATCACTTATCGGGAGGAAATCGGGGGAAATCTGCTGCATAAAAAATGACAGTACATTTATCATCTGCATGAATGTGAGGTTAAATTCACGTATGTACATGTTTAAATAAAGGCAGAAGTTTGAGGATAGAAAGAATTTCTTACTTAAACCTTTCTCTCTTACTTTCTTCCAGTTGAAAATAAAATCAGAAGTGTATGGGAATCGAAAATTTCTATTTAAAAATTTTCCACACATAAATGCTAAGCTTTCATTATAAAATAATTGAAAAATGGAATATTAGGACGGTGTTATCATGTACTGTAAGTTATTATGTTTCAATGAATCATTGAATCAATGAAAATACAATAATTTAAAGTATATGAGAGAATCGTCATAAATTTTCATCTCCGCAGATTTTATTATTTAATGCGTACTATCCATAAAAAATTATACGAAGAAAAAATAGAAATTATTCGAACAATCCCTTCGTTAAATCAAATTGCTTAATGATACAGACAAGATATGAAAATGATTTTCATACACTTTTGTAACTTACTTCTTTGTATGCATGCTTTATATCAGCATCAGTTTGTTCAAATTTATTATCATTCACTTGAAAATGAGGAGTGTTAACGATTAGCGAATTATGATAGTTTTGATTTCCATTGAAATGATTATTATGGATTGTACCATTAAATTGGTTCATATTTGTCGCTGAAGCAAATAATGACCACTCTCCCTTATTTTCCAGAAATATATTTTGTGCAACATCAATAGCTTGACCAAATTTTACATTTACCTGTATGATATGATTAAATTAATGGCGGCGAATTAATTGTAAAATGACTTAGAAGAAATGAGTGAAAAAAAAAAGATTGAAAAATAAAATTAAAACCTGCGGCGATACATAAATAGCCAACACTCCTTTTCGTTCAATTTCATTATTTCCAATAAAAATATTTCGTTCTATTTTTGCATTCTCACAGCCTTCCAATGTTATACGCATTACCAAATTTTCGTTCTTCAAGAAACCATTCTTTTCAATTAACATTTTCCGCATCTTTTCCTCATTACCGTTTAATGAGCACTAAAATTAATTAATTTAAATGACCAAATGATTTTTTTACCGTTATAAAAAGGCAAATAAATGAATCGATATGATCAATCAGAACGGATCTGTTAAAGTTGTTTTACTTTTGCGAGCACAATTCAAATTTGATTTCCAAATTGAAAATTTTGTTTCATTTTCAGATTCAATTTTTGCTTTTTTCCGGATAGCACAATAAATAGTCGACTAACCTTTGAAAATATGATAACAGACGGAAGAATATTCGAAATAAAATTTGAGGTATTTAAATAAAGTAAATTATAGGATTTCAAATTGAGTAGAATACCACCACTGCCTCGTTCTTGTTTACGGATTGTTAAATTACTAAGAACAATTGAATCTAATTCGTTCTTTTCTCTTTGCGCAACAAGAATCCCGAACGAGCCACTATTTTCTAACTAAAATTTGATTTTCTTTTTTTAAATGTTGTCTGTAATTTTTAAAAAACTTTTCCACACTTTTTGTCTTTGATTTGATAACTTAAAAATCTATTAGTGTTTCAATAATTGAAAAACAAATTAATATATGGCTTAGGATAAGTTAACCTAAAAATTGTTAACATGTGAAATTTTAATTTCAAATACAATTAACCTACCACAATATTTTGTAGCATTATTTTACCAGCCGGATCCATAAAATCTATTCCGCTCTCAGCACAATCCATTATTAAAGCATTTCTAAAAAACACTTCATAATTTTACACCGTCGCTGAAAAGTGAGAA